GCTAGACACGAATATCTGACTTACTATAGAATTTCGTCTAAATTCGGAATTTAGAAATTAACTCAACCAAAGATACCCCTTTTGTGGTTGGGCTAACGGTGCGGTAGACATGTCGGAGTCGAAGGTCTTAATATATCGCATGCGTCACTGTTTTGTTATGACTCATAGTTGAAGTCATCGTTAGTTTCTGTCGCTGAAAAATATCCAAGGAATATTGAGAAAGTTAATCATTTTCGTTGTATCATATGTTACTTTTGGAACGACGCTCATCGTTTTGTCATTTTCCCGAAATTTCACGAATTTGGGAGAATCACGTTTTCCGTTCTTATTTCACCTGCATAAATATCACCATAAGAGGCATCGAACCTACACAATTCAACCTTGGTTCTTTTGCTGTAGTCCTTCTCTTTTCTATGCTCGGGCTGACTTGGGCCAGAATGGGTGCTGGACTTCTTTTTTATTCGTGACATAAAGCTGTTCCTTATTTCTGCCCCAACAACCGCAGCAAATCCTATCGCATTGTTATTCTCGTAAACAAAGCAGTTGTTGTACAAAAGCCTTATTCTTGATAATAATGATTTTCATCACTTTTTTGTTTTCCATATTTATTTCCTATTCCCAAAAACACCCCTGGGAGCGTGCTGTGTTGCAATCGCGATCGGTGCGATCGCCACATTTTGCTCCACGAGGCTTTTTTTTTTATCTTAAAGCTTCAACAATAATATATTCCATCATTTCAAACTTTTGACATGTAACTCTCAATATAGGGTCTCGCGTAACTTTGCTTCACCAACTATTACCGTGTTTTACTGTGATCTAATGATTTATTCAAAGTCCGTTTATAAGGCTGCGCTAAGTGGTAATGATGTTTACTCCACATTACAGTCTCCTCTTACCACAAATACGATAGCGTTGTAAGCTCCTCTCAAAACTCTTTGCATTTCCATGAGAAAACGCTGAAAGTTAGATGCTAAAAACTCCTCCGTGCAACCACAACTTCTTAAGATATCTTGAATTTCAACAGGCAGAGAAAAACCTCACGGTCAACAAAATGAGGTGAAGCTGCTTCTCGAGAACTTTGAAATGAATCATCAGGAAGGAGAGGGTAACTAGTGAAATTTGAAGTAATTTTAGGCTGTCCTGATCGAGGTGATTGTCTCAGGTGGGGCCCAAGCTTTGGGTTAGCTCTCGATAAGACTCCTGCTGAGGCGATGAGCGAGAATCAGTCGGGAGATTAGNCTTCCTCGCTCATTTTTACTCGTAACTTTCCACACGGGGGGCCGCGAACGTTCCGTCGTTTCAGCGATTAACCTACATTACATTCATCACTTCAGCCTGGATTCCTAAGGGTCTAAAATAAGATTAAGGTTGAGCAGGGTCGAAGTTCGATATTAGCTGGGAGTTCGATGTTTATGCTGAAGATTACGAGATTCGTTGAAGATGCCGTTGTGAGCATTCACTAATTATATCGGTGGTGGGCGTGGATGCGATGGCATCGGAGTTTGGAAGCATGATCACTAGCTTTTTTAAATGGGGTTATTCATAATACAATCATTGAGCATCATCTCCACCTTCTTTTCTTTTGTTCATTGAGACAGCTTCAGCTGAACGACGGCAGGAACATGTACAGTCATCATTGCACCGTCACGTGTAAAAGCAGTTTGAGCGGGTTGTCTTTGTGCAGGAGACGGAAGAGCTTTTAATTGATCGTCTAAGCTTTTGCGACTACCGTCTGACTAACGCGGCCGTGTGTTGTGACGTTCATTGACGTTTCTAGGAATCCAGTCGGTACCGTTCGGGTCAGCAGTCATGACGAAGTGACTGGCGAGTCCAATTTGTTTTCAATAGGTCGGGCACCGTTCCAGATTTTCGATGATTGACGGATTGTGGAACTATCATTCCTCCTCCTCTCCTTCACTCGCCTCAATCAGGAAACTCCGAACATAACTTTTTCGATATACCACTGTCACTTATCACTTGTTCATCTCACAGGTGTGTAATTCTTTTAGTAAAAGAAGAGATGGTAGTTGAGAGTCTCTTTCCTGTTCTCTCAGTTTTCTTTAAGTCTCTTGCTACTCCTTGTGCTCCGCTCTAGTGCTGAGTCGTTAATCATACTGATTCATCGGTCTAGGTACATATGGTCTTTCTTCTGTTGGCTTTCAGAGTCCGATCTGTATTTTACTGATATCTCGTGGTAGTGTTGCATTCAGTTCCAAGCCAAGCTATCCATCGCCGCTGTTGAAATCAGCTGACATTATGCCTACCTCAGTGTTTGAAGCAGTTCATAGCGAGCAAGCGAAAAGAATGTTAGCTGATTCGTCGTCATTCATGTCGTCAGCGTTGCGGAGGTGGTGCGGAGTTGCTAGTCGTCGACCTTCACTTTCATGCCCCTCTATTTAGTTGCGCATAACGTTCTCAAAAGCGACGCCTCTGTGTTTGGGCGATTCAATGCCTTCCCTTTAATTCTCTTTTTCGACGTTTCTTTTTATTTTCTTACAAATAATTGGAATCTTGATCGTAAAGTTGAAAGGTCGCGCAAAAAAGTGCCGAAATCCTGCCCACCACACGGCTTTCTGCTACTTTGAATACTTGGAAGTCTTGAACTTATTGACAGCCACGGGTTCCGCAAGCAGACCGGGTTCCGCACTGTGGCCCGTCTATTTTCACCGGGGGGCCACATGCTGGTCGTACAAAGCCTCAGGGATAGGTAGTAGCGTTTGGAAAAAATTGGGAACGAAATCGGGCAATGGGGAAAGGCAAGAACTTTCGGAACCTTTATTCCTTTTGCGTATTTTTCGAGGGAACATGAATTCTGAATTGCAATCTGTGCATATCAAGAAAAAAGTTTACAGATGCTATAAAAATTGAAAACCGTGAAGACGGGATTCACACGGGAAGGGAAACGTTGGCTTCTTGTGTCTCACATCTTCACGTCACAGAACAGTCGCGCCTTCCCATTTGTCAGACACATGAAACCATGGTCAATATAACAACATGAAGTACATTAGTGGCTTCTTAAAGATTGCGAAATAGAGTCTCCAGAGCTTAGGATTTTGTTTTTTTTTTTTNTACCAGTACTGGCTTATGGAAGTCTAGTTGGAAATAGTGTAGTTCAGTGTAACAATTTAGAAAGAAGTAGAAGCGCAAAGAAGCTTATCTTCAATGATTGACCTCATGAGAAGCGTTGATTTCTGTTGTTTCCAAGGTGATGTCGTTGACATGCCCCTATCGTCGTTTCTTTAAATTCCAAAGGGTTTAAAGGCTGCGTGTCCTCAGTGAAGCAAAAGGGTGTCAGTTTGCGCAATTTCACACTTTTTGTTAAGGTTGTAAAAACTTTTGAGCGGAGAAATTGTCAACGAAAAAACTGACGTCGACTTTTATCACGTCTTCGTTTTGCAGCCGGAAATGACCAGTTGCTTCTAACTTGTTTGTGAGTAGGCTTTAGCAAGCACATTGTATTGATAATATGTTGCGATCCATTGTGATTACGTGGAAATGGTTGTTTTATCGATTCATGTGGAGTATTGCCATAATCATATGGCGTTCTTTTAGGCCATTGACGATCGTGGATGGTATGACATCAATACAATCTGAAGGAGGAAATGGTAAGTTAAAAAAGCAACTCGTTTTCGTGATACGGTTTCCATCTGTCTGCTATAATGTGAACCATTAACTTGAAGGAATAAGAATATGTATATGAGACTTTTTCCGTATCCTGCTCGATATCATTATTTGACGCACTTCCTTTACGTAATGCTTGATGCGAATAAGGTGGCGCAGTAATCTCAATCACGTATGAGGGCTTTATTTTGGTTGATATAGACCTCTATCGTTCAGTTGATGATGTCGTATCAAAGGTCGAGTCAAGTAAGGGGTGACTCCATTTTAACTTACCATTTATTCGGGTTAGTCGACCCAAACGACTCGTTCAAAATACTCAAGACAGCCTTCTTGCAAGGGTATCAAGACCTTTTTTGCGTGGATCACGCATTAATCAGCTTTGGCGTAAGACAGGTAAGTGACATTCGAACAATTGTATATTTCCTTTTCGAAGTAACATTAGTTGTAAGTTTGGCTTTTCATTGCATTTGAATTACAGAATGAGTTTGAAGTGTGTACTGTGACACCATCAACCAATCGCCCGCTTCCAACTGAATCGTCTAGTGGATCTGCTGGTAGCGTGCATCGCCTAGGCTATGTGAGGTTTTATGATGACTTTACGAAATTTCCTTTCTCTCACCTCGAGCCATTTTTATGTTTGACTCCATGCCTTTTTATAAGTTGCCTTCTCAGTTCATACTTTCAGTTGAAGGGATTCGTTATTTTGCACCGTTCTAAATTTTTGCTTTGGTCTAGGTTGTAGTCAATCTCTCGCAACTATCACGACTGCTGAACGTCACGTCTGAACATAGGCAGTTTTCAAAAGTGCAAATGCCTATAAAAGAATAATTATATGCATAAAAAGAGCGCCCATAAAGTGAATAGGCGAGCAGCTTCCTTTCAAACATTTTCTCGCCGCCTTTTTAGAAAGGTTTCGCTGGCCCCTTCCATTTCTGGGTTTCATAATTGTGACACGACTAGTTTGAAAATGGGATACAATGCAATTTTAGAGCAAGGAGCACAACTGCAACACTAAATTTCACATTCGAGCCCGTTCCGCTCCATTTTTGGACCGCCGTCTTTACATTTTGAGGCTCTGCTAAAAAGCAGGTGCAGCTGCTGAGATTGTGGTTCCCGTGTGGTAGTTGGGGCTATCCAACAAAAACCCTAGTATCACCCTCTGAATGTTAGCTGCTTCTCCCAGTTTCTTTTGAATTCGAAAGTTATTCGCCTAAGTTCAAAGTTCAAGCGTGGTGATGTATGTTAGATATGTATGGCTGTTAGATATGAATATGCACAAGGTTTTAGGTTCATTCTGTCGATGTAGAGCTTGAGTTGCTCGTCAGGGAGGGCGGTCGGAATGGAATCACTAAACTTAAGTTAAAGCAAGTACCGAAGTATGTTTGTGTTTCATTCTCTTCTTTGATATCCTCCAATTGAATGTGCGGATTTGGTCTTTTTTNTTTTTTATACAACTCTTTCCTGAGAATGTGTTCTTTGGTATCTTATTACTGTTCACATCCGATGTCATCTTCCTCTGACAGATGAGCGATGAACAGTAATAAGGTAATCATGGAATTGACCCGGTATTGCTTCTACGTTGGAAATTTTCAGTAATTTCCCACTCATTCAGTTTTTAGCTTAAGGGCTTTCCCCTCTGTGTTTAATTAATTCTGAGTTTAAAGTTGTTGGGAACTATTCAAAATTATTTCTTGACTGTTTCAGTTGTTTATTTCAGATTTCTTGTTAATGCATTCAATTTTATTATTAAAAATGGTCTGGCGTTAGAAGGATTGTTTCGTCGGGAAGGAAATGCCAGTCGTCTTAATCAAAACAATTTCGTAAGTATGAACTTTATATGCTTAACTATTCATCAATGACAAATGATCACAAACATTGTTTGTAACAATTGCAGGCTGTTTACTTGGGTGCGGCCCCTTTGCCCCCCTCTTTCACTGTTCATGATGTATGTTCAATGGTAAAACGATTCTTTCGAGATCTGAAGGAACCACTTCTCCCTAACCCTGCTCTACGGAAGTCGTTGCTGGAACTCGTCAAAAGGAATGAAGTGGTTCCGGTATGTGATTGCAGCAGTAGTTATTGCTCAAACCTGGATTTAATGATCAATTCAAGACAATTAGTATTATCGAAGGATTTACAGATACGTTCAGGTAACGCGTCACGACTTTTGTTCCCTATTTGAAACTAGATATGACGTAATAAAGAAAACGTGGGATCGTTCTCTACCTGATGCTCATATCGGCACTCTCGGTTACCTGATGAGGCAGCTTCAAGGGGTGNNNAAAATTGTGTTTCAGATATCACGTCATTCTGACAAAAATCAAATGGATTCTGCAAACCTTGCAACGGTATTTGCGCCCACTCTTTTTCGCCAACAGAAAATAAGGAGAAAAGACCGAAGAGGCTCTCAGGTCTGTCCTCCACTTTTCTTGCAGTTTTTTTGGTTGCGATTAGGCGAAGAATTCCAAATTAGTTCCCTTGCTTCGTGATTTGTATTTAGGTTCGCCGACAGTACTTGAATGAGAGAAAAGGGGAGTGGCAGAGAAGTGGATGAAAGATTTGAACACGGTGTTAAAAGCAGGGGGTACCTGTATCACTTGTCGTCCCGTTGATCATCAACTTCCTCGACCGGGCGCCAGTAACGTTTCCCTTCGTACATTCGCCAGAGTAATCCAGTGAATCTTACTCGCTTCTGGGCTGGGACAAGAGGCACAGCATCCCTTGCGTTCAGAGCTTTCGTGAAGAAATCTGGCTATTGCATTGGTAGGCCGTCCTATGTGAAAAGGGTCAAAGGGTAGAAATGACAATGGGGAAGAAGTATTAAGAAGATGAATCGATTGAAAAATCGATATCCTATGAGGGATTGAATCTTGAAAGATTCAACTAATAATTTATTCATTTGATCATAGTGCGCTGTATCCTCAGAACTGAGAAGAAGATAAAATGATGGCACGATATATGTATGTAAGAAGGCATTATCTCTTTTGGGTATCGAATTAGCGTTACGAGTTTTTAGGATGATCTTCTGACTACTCTCCGTAGCGACACGAAGCTGCAAATCGCTGCTGTACAACTTCTGATAGAGCGAGCGAACTGGATAGGTCTTCATCCTAACTTTTATGTTACAAGCGTCCATCACCACAGAAGTTGCTCTGCCGCTCCGTCTCCTCGGTCAGATATATCTTACAATATCACTTGGAGCTCTATCTCTATTTGTCATTTTCTGAGTTTTATGATTTTAGACAGCCATTTATGCCTTCTATTGCGAACTTGAAAGCGCCACTTCCGTGTGCAGAACGAAAACACTTTGCTAAAGGAGACGTGGTAGCTGCTCCCCATCTTAGTGATAGAGAAGCCGCAATAAAAGCGAGCGATATTGGCAAAATAAAGGCTAGTTTCCATCATAAATACCCTTTCAATTCTTTTTATTAAATGCCCATGTTTAGCCATCAACAAAACGAAGATCGTCGTCGGCTTTCCGCGGAATTATTAACGGTATTGGTGACCGGCTGCTAAAGAGAAGTCCAAGTAGAGAGCGTGGCAAGGTAATCAGTTTTACTTCACCTACGGCCTTATAGGAGTTAGGCGCAACCAACGTTTTCACTTGGTAGGCCAACCGTCGTCAAAGCTCACCTGCGATTGTGGTTACGGCTACTCAGCAACATCGTTCTCGCTTACCGCGACGACCATCACCAGAGTATACGCTGGAATTTGCGTCACCACCTCATAGCAGCTCCTCTGAACAAGTGAATGTAAGAGTTCTCGCTTAAATTTGTTTTTCGAATAATAAGTAACTTTAATCTTGCTTATTGAATCATGTAGATTTATAATTTGATTGGGTACACAGCTCAGTTCCATTTTTTATATTCATCTTCACATTCAGGCTAATATTGCTCCAGTACGTGACTCTGCAAGATCATCCTCTTCTCGTGCTTCTCGCTCTGGTCAGCCCGTCGTAATATCTTCAGCGAGGCCATCAGCTCATGTGTTAGGGCACCAGGTAGTTGCCATTTTTTGATTGGACGGGAATCATTCAAATATGCGTGGTGTACCGTTTGAAATCCAACTTTTTATATGTAGCTACATATAGTTTTACTTATTTTTATTGTTTTTTGTTGGTTTCTCATTTTTCGGATTCAGAACATGACATCAAAGCTCAACGGCTCTCAGTCAATTGGAAGGTCTTCTCATCGGACTGCAGAAACAGCCATATACAGACGTGATTCTGGAAGAAAGCGAGGTGAAACACCTCCGAGGAGAGCTAACAAGGTATCTCTATGGCTTATTTTCAGAAGTTGCGTAGTTGTTTCCTAAAAAAGATTTTGCGTAACACTTTAGGTACTCAAGGATAATCCGGTATCCATGCTTGGCGAAGAACATTTCAATCCCACTTATCGTGAACAACATGAAAGATCACGACGTCGTCACACAACTCCAGTTAAGACATCAACTGCCCTGAGGTAGGTATTACTTTGTTAATCTTCGCGGGGCAAGAATTGTAGTGGGAGTTTCTATGATATATTAAATTACTTTGGTCAACACTTATCAAAAACCTGAAGTGGCTAAATTGGCTGTGAAATCCTGTATTAATAACTAAATTATGGTTTTTCTTGTGGTGCAGACGTATTTCCTCAGTCGTTATGTTATTTAGGCGCAACCAGCCCAATACACGACACTCAGGATTACAACAACCGAAAAGGCGTGCTACTGTAGTGAATGCGCATGAACAGGAGAAAGAGGTACCGATCTTCATTTTTACAGTTCGAAAAATTGTTGATCTTTTGTTGACCTTTTCGTTATATTTTCGGTAGATTTCACACTTCGAAATTTTCCTCACGATCATACCCCTATACATCTCCTTTCGTTGAAGAATCGCCACCGAACTGGATCTGTAAGTGCCACTAATTCCTGCGAAGATATTGAAGCGACAATGGCAGAGGACAGCTTGACCTTGACAGATTCCTCAGCTGATATACTAACTCAGGTTCTTTTGAACACAGTTTTACAATCCTATTACCTCTATCGTCTCATATCCATTCAATTCAGAAAGGGCATGAATCACGTTTGAGGCGAGCGAAAAGGCAACATAGACGAGAATTGTCCTCAGTCCTTCAAGATTCTTTATTCGACTCTAGCTCCTGTCCGGAACCTGTTGACAAAAAAGGTCAGACGATTCACTTATCTTAATCTATTCAGGAGTACAACTCAACAATTTTCAGATGACGAAAAAGGCTTTGTAAGGAAAGTATCTGTTGGATGCTCACCAATAATCTTCCCACGCAGTCCCGTCGATTCGAAGGTGCTTTTTTTTAAAGTACTTTTAATCTGGAAGAATTGCGATTTGGTTTTGTTTTGCGCTAGGATGGCAATTTGACTTCATACTCACTAACTTTTGAGATAGTAAGTAAGGAAGGGCGTAAAAGTGTTTTAGGGTTGCATGCATAGTCAGGGGAATAGAAACTACATCGAATTTCATGACTAGCGGAGCTTTCCATTTGTCTGGAGCGGATGTCGAATTGCTGAATTGCTAAATGTTGGTCAGCTTGCAGTCAAAAGTTATTTCACTGTGGTACCACGCGTAAGGAAACACCCTTTTAAGCGGTTTAAGCGGTTTAAGCGGTGCTCCAGTTTTACAGCAATTTGGCAATTTAGGAATAGGTACACAGTATTTGTAATTCGATTTGGAAAAATAGAACGAACCTTTTTTTTAGTTTGTTGATGTTTTTCGCTGTTTATTCAATTGTTTTTCATTGTTGTTCATTCATTGTTTCCATTGTATGTAAACCAACATCATTTCCAGGAAAACCATGGTTCAGCGTATGTTGGGGAAACAATAGTGGTTACACCAGCAGCGCTTCCATCTGATTCTTATGAATCGCCCACAATGGATCTCCCCACTGATCTGTGTATATCGCCTCCTCCGATAGAGCCACGTTCAACTGCGCGCCCCTTGATTACCACGCACTCACCGTCGAAGGAGGCAGCTGTGGTTTTGAAGCAGTCTCCCTCCAGGAGGTAACTTTTATTTGTTGGCTTATTGTTTCTCAGTGTATCGGGTGCTGGTGGAGAAGAGCTTTTATTAATAATACCTATTACATTGCTTAAATTTTTCGTTATATAAACGTTTTCTGATTTCTTGGTGTTTTTCTGAATAAATATAGAAATTCCAGAGTCCTGCCTCAAGAGCCCAGCGGCTCTATGCACCCTGGAGGAGGTAGGTTGTATCCGACACTGATTGAGGCATAACCGATTTTTTTCAAATCCTCATTTTCAGATTCAAACGAAGAAGTCCAACAAGTAGTCTTCCGTGTTCCATCTTTGCCTAATCCCTTCTCGAATCCCCTTGCAATGGGTGAACCTTCTACTGATAGAGTAAGTAGCTTCTATTTTTTGCAATGCTTCTTATTCCCGATTTTGTATTTTTCTAAATTTCTGAATCTCCTTTATTCCGGAGCACTATTTTGTTCTGGTTATTCGTTTGGCAACTTTTTTGTTGTTTATTTTTATATTTGTTGTTGTTTCAAAGTATCCTTACAGGTGGGCAGCGTAAATACGGATATGAGACGAAAAGCGCCAGTCCGGCCCAAGTCACCGAGAAACATACACTCGCTGATGCCCTTGCGGGTTCGTTAATTAAATCGCATTTCTTTTCTGTGGTGGGAATTTTATTATGGTTGCCATTGTAGGTTCTCAAATCGGTCTCACTCGATGATGATCGGCAAGACCGATTTGTGAAGCATGTTCCAAGCAATCCAACGGCTGAACCTGCTCTAGAACCTAGTTCAGCTTTGGCCTCACCTGTAGAACCGTTCGAAGCCTCGAGTGAATTAAAGGCAGCTCTAATAAATGCACGCTGCGATGAAGACATGGTGGGTTGACTCGTTTGTCAATCTCTTCCTCGTATTGTTTTAAATCGTTTTTTGTAATGAATGGAAGCGTCTCGGTTTTGTTTTGCATTCCGAAATTCTTTGTTCAGGAAGCTACTATCGGTCGACATTTTCGAGTTCGTCCATCGGTTGCTTTCATTCAAAAACAGGGTATTGTTCGTGACAGAGTGAATTTGTTCCGACAACTTGGAAATACCATATCGGTACCGCTGGAACCAGTGAGTGGACGGGTTCGTTAGTTTTTTCTGCATGAATTAGGCGGTATCTGCGTTGTCTCATCGCTTTCGTTGTGTTTATACTTTCATAAAGTCGCTAAGTTGCAAATCTAGGTGACTCCTTTGAGCTGGCCAAATTTTGTAACAGAATTCGTGGTAGTGCACTAGTCTAAGAAGATCTATTTCAGCGGTTCAGACCAAGAATTTTATCCTTGCCAAGACGTACAATCTCTCTTGACACACATCCTACGGTGTGAAAAATTTTGAAAAGTTCCGTTTTTTATCGAAGAGAAGAAGAATATCAAGCAAATTTTAGGGTTTCGGTTCCTTTCCCAGAAACCTTCCACAAGCTACGGCGAAAGTCTTAGGACAAAATGAAATACATCCGAAAGTTTTATTAAAGAGCAGAAGGAGTCAGTATTCTATCATTTGCACTATGCTTTGTACCGTTTAAAGGGCCGAATCGTTCTTTGCTATAGAAAAGGTGTTAAATGGGTTGTCCCGGTATATATTGCGTCCTTGTTTCTTTTACGGTGGGCTCGTGCCAGCTCAGATCGGGAACTAATCTGCATGGTCGTTAAAGTCCCATCCTATACAGGTGCGTTTAGTGGCTGTTCACTGGGATTTATGAAACTCTATCTCTATTCAGTGCAATGTGCCATGGAATATTTCTTGTCTTAAAGATCTTGAAAGGTCCTGGAAACTATCAAGTTGGGTAATTACTCCGGGCTTCCCACTTGGGTCGAAGTGTAGAATGCTGACCTTAGTCTTCCGTTGTAGCTGGGTCTTTGGGTTAATCCACTCAGAACAAAACTCGAACAGCTTTTTCAGAATATCTTTCTTTTTTCGTTTTTCGAAAGAACAGGATTCGGATGTGGTCTTGACCAGGCAATTTTCAAGGTATCTCGTCTATAAAGTGAAGTGGAAAAAGCTGATGACACCGAAAGTCCGAGGAAGTGATAAAAACAGATTTTTTTCAATATATCGCAAAAAGTTTCGAGCTATTTTCTATATAAGTGTAGATAGTGAGTTAATAAAAACATGGTAACACCAAGTGTTGATCGCGAGACGATAACATTGCTAAGTGCAAATTCGGATTTAGAAAGGAGACTTGCAAGTGATTCACTAGTCAGAGTGCTGAAGCAGCTTCGCCGAAGTTGTTGTTACACAAAATTAAAAGGTCCCATGACATTCGGAGGAATGGTCAGAGCAAGAGTCCGCTGTGTCAACCGTTCACAAAGGAGGCCTCCAGCCCCCTTGCGGAGTTGTCTTTCAGTTCAATCCCTATTTGTCCGAGAAGAGATTGTCTTGAATCAGACTACTTTTAGCGACTACTGCAGAAAAAATTACCATTACTTTTTTAATCGGCGTGTAACTTCTAACTGTCATGGGTAAAGAGCTGCGAACCGGTACCTTTTAAACCGCTTTCATCCACATGAAGCCACTTCGTCGATCATTGCTTTCTGGTTGACGGCACAGTTTACGATAATTTCGAGGTACCCGTTTTTATTCGAAAAGCGGAAGTATAGGTTGGGAATAGTTGATCGGTAATGAAGAAAGCGAGAGAATTCGCCA